GTCACCACACACTTGGCACATAAGTTTTCTTGCGGTTGCTGCAACTATGCAGACTATGTCAAAAATCGCGCGCGCGTGCGTGCGTGCGTGCGTGCGTGCGTGCGTGCGTGCGTGCGTGCGTGTGTGTGTGTGTGTGTGCGCACGCACGCATCCATGCATGTTTGTGTGTGAGGTCTACAAGGCTCGCATGCAAGTGCCAATGTATGCGACCCCACACTGAGTATATAATGTTCATGTTGATCTTGGTGGTTTTGTTTCAATCTCACTATGTGTAACTGAAGGACTGTGTGTGTGTGTGTGTGTGTGTGTGTGTGTGTGTGTGTGTGTGTGTGTGTGTGTGTGTGCAAAGCATACAGGAAAAAGTGTGGACTAGATGCCAGCCATTGCACGGCACATAAAGATAATCATCATGCCCACATGTATTGGTAATTTGGAATGGGGATGGGAGACTGGATGGGGGATTAATAAACATTTGTCCACTTCAGAGCTTGTGGATTCGCCAACTGATTTTTTTCCCCACTATTTTTTTCAATGTTGGGTTGGGGGTTACTTCTTGGGGAGAGGCAACTTCCCTTTTTTTTGTCGAAAATGATCATTGGAGGTTTATCAGCGTTAATTGAAGATTTGGTTTTTGTGAGGGTTTACCCCCACCTCCAAAAAAAATAAAATAAAAGTAATAAAGAAAACCCCCACTGCATTCCAAATGGGCACCAATTATGCCTAGGTTTTCATTCATCGGCAGGCCAGTCCCTACTCCAGCATACTCCATTATATAATATTAAAGTTGCAATTTCACCTAAACTATGTAATTTTTAATGAATTTTGAATGAAATGCAGGATTAGTGACTTTATGTGAAAAAAAAAGCACAAAATAAAATAATAAAATAAATTCTTGCTCTTTAATGTCAACTGTTCAGCAGTTTTGTGCCGTTTTTGAATGGGAATTGTTTTGCACGAGATCCATTTGCTCAAAAAAAAAAAAATCACAGTAGGTAATTGGGGAAGGAGGTAATTGTTCAAGCCTCTTTTGGAGAAGGCTGGATCTGTTATATATGCATCATGAGGTGTATTGTGAAAAATTAAATATACAAAGATACTGTGATGTACAGGGACTAAGGTTAAATTAAAAACAAAAAAAGACAAACGCATGTACTTTGTCCATATTTAAAATTGCATTTTTGTTGTACATCTGGTTCGGAAGTGCATGTTGGCCCTCATAGCACTGATGAAAAACATATCCCTCCCACATTTAAGTTGCCATTCCGTGATTTAGAGCCTTTAATAAACCGAACATGGATGTTTTTGGAATGCGGGAGGAAGCCGGAGTACTTTTGTTACTTTTGCAGTGTTTGCAGATAGTGAGGTAGTTAAGACAGACTGACCGATAACCAACTTTCCAAATGGTATTTGTAAAACAGTATCCAGTAGAGGTTCTGTTTAAGAAACAGCTGACAACAGCACTGCACCCGCACGAAAAACACATACACACACATGCCCACACACATTCAAGCAATAATCCCTTAAGTGTGTGCCTGAGTGACAGAGGGTGTGCGCTCTCTGAACAATCACACACATTTTCTACATCCCAGCATTGTCTAGCTGCGCTGAGTTCGCGCCGTGTCAATACACTTAACAAGTCAACACACGTAAAACATGCAGCACTCCATCTGACAGAGTTAATACAAATCTATAGAGTGTGCGGGTGTGTGCGCGTATGTTTTGCGGATGAAAGGCAGTTTCTGGGAATTGTGCTGCTGCCACAGTAAGGAGCTGAGGGGGGGGGGCGTCGTGTGTGTGTGTGTGTGTGTGTGTGTGTGTGTGTGTGTACATATTGTTTTTTACATGGATATTCGACCAGTTTTTCAACACTGCGGGTCCCACGAAGCGCACCCCCTCATTTGACCTATATGCAACTTTGCTTGCTAACACACTCACACAATAATGAGGGCAGGCATGCTGAAAAGGGACAAAGACTGTTACTTCAAGACAAAGCTGATTGAAAGTGACATAGACTCGCCAGAGCTGCTGCATGATGTCTAATGTACAGTGAAACCCCCAAGGTCAAATGCATTTCATTCTGGGATGTTGGTCACCTTTTGATTTGTGCATATCTCAAAATAAATTTCCCAAAGGAAATTATACAAATAGAAATGATCTTTTCCAATCATAAAACATGGAACTGTACAAGTAACATTATAAATTATGGGGAGATTTGTCTCAAAATTATTCACACAAATACATTCGCGATTTTCACGTTTTTCAGATCCACAAATATAATTGTGATTTTCACGTTTTTTTTAAATTGTTGTGTGTGCATTTACGATTTGTAAATATTACATTTATAAACAAAGTGGATGGCGCATTCATTTTTGACACAAACGTCACGGCGTTTCAAGATATCCACGTACCTGAGTCTCAGATATTCACGTGTTGAAAGGCTATCCCCCTTTCATCCACAAAAAGGCAGTGTTACTGTCTCCACTGAACAGGAACGAGCCATCTACCGCTTCTTGTTTAAAAAGTGGAAATTGAAAAACGGAAAACCACCGCTTTCATGATCTGATGACGTGTTTATGGTCATTCCATAACAAATCACCGAGTGGGTTGAACCAGGATTGTTTTGATTTGAATGAAACTTGCTGTACTTGTTGACGGTAATGGCACAAAACAACATCTCTCATTTTCGGGCAATCAGAACAGGGGTTTGGTGGCAAAGGCCCACCAAATTTTAAAAGGGGCATGGCCGCCTTCCTTTGAACGTTTCTATCTCAGGAACTACGAGGGCCATCTTCACCAAACAGGTCTTGTTGGAAAGATTGTTGGAAAAGGATTGCAACCAGAATTCTGAATCTGCATTCAGTCAGAGGATTGATCCTTACTTTTGAATATTGACATTTTGACCCATTATTTGACCATGAAATTGACCTTGTGGATATTTTAGAGTAACATGTTACAGCAATGTGTTACCGGCGTCACTGGTCCTGAGTATTTGTGCGCCCGTAATATGCATGTGGTCAAAATGGGTCACTTGCCTAAAGGTTTTCTCCCAGTCGCTTGTGATAAAACTTCTTGTATGACATCCTAGCCAAGTCAGGAGTTGATCTTGAAGCACCTCTGTATTGTTGTTGTTGCAGTGATGTGAGGTCTTGCCAACAAACTGGTCACATGATATCCAGACTGAGATTACTGGACTCATTTACCATCAGAGGAAGAATGCAGCCCACAATGGCTAGAATGGCTCCATCCATCCTCCAGAGAGGACACTTCCTGTCTGACATCATCAGCACCGCTCGCTGAATAGACTGGGAGGCAGGCAGCGGTGGGTGGAGGACAATTACTGGTGCCCAGGTTTTGGTCTCGCAGCGGCACATGAAGGACAGCAGACATTTCCTGCATGGGAGAGTCAATGGCAGAGACTCCATAGATCTAGTTGAAGTAGAGAAGCACTTCCTGGCGTCAGAGGTGACTTTGAATGACTCCATAGATCACAGGGAAAGTCCACTTCCTGAATTGTGCCACTGATAACTGGAACAAACACTTCCTGCTCCAGGTGGGTCCAATGTGCTATCACATTGTTCTCTGGTGGTCTGATACAAATCAAAATGATGCAAGCATGGGTATTTATAATTAAAAAAAAAAAAAAAAAAAGCTTGATAAGCCCAGAAATGTATATACAGTACAAAAAATATAAGACCAATTTAAAAATAAATAAGACTTTTGTCAAAAATAGCTTCTGGCAACTGGCAGCCATGGTTGAATGGTGAACAATGTGGCCTGTAACCAAAAGACCCTGATTTGGCTTCTTTTACAACTCATCCTTGGGTGCCTGCAAAAAAATTCTGATGACTGACATAAATATGGAAATTAACTATGCAAACATGATTGAGTTCCTTTTTAGAAAAGGGGTGAAAAAAATATGCATCCCAACAAAGGGGAGGAGCTCCGCGCCTATAGTATTCATAGTTTGTGATGTGCGTTACAAAAAGCTGGTTTGTGCAGAAGAAAAAGTAAAAAAAAAATGTTTCTAAAAACAATATTCACTTTTCTGGCGAGTATCACTGTCTGAAAGCACGTACAGTAAGAACCTGCCTCCCTTCCCACAGACCCCAGTTAAGTTCCTTTAGACTCTAGACACCCCAGAACTTGAAATATGAACTTACCTATCCCTAATGTTAATTATAAATATTAAAAATACAAACAGACTCATAAAAAAAAGAAAATAAACAATGTGCAATAATGTAAACAATGTTTAATAAAAATCAGGTGCTATGTGTTCAGTTTTAAATGACAACGGTTTATTCAGTGTTCATGAGTCTGAAAGCTGAGAAGCTGTTGTTCATGTGTGGGGAGGTTCTAGTCTGAATGTACAGTAGCCTCCTGCCTGAGGGCAGAGAGTTCATCAGGCTGTGTCCAGGCTGAGTAGGGTCAGCTGTCATCCGACCTACACACACCTAAGTCATGGAGATGTACATGTCCTGGTAGGATGGGCGCTGACACTGATCACCTTCTGAGCAGTGCGCACAGTGCGCTGCAATCTGTGCCCGCACAAGCATATCATACTGTGATGGTGGAGGTGCGGATGGACTCACTGCGCCAATATCTTGATTGGCCGCCTGAGTTTCCTCAACTCCCACTTGAGGTCCGGGGTGACGGTGGTGGCCGGGAAGTGGAAGGAGTCCAGGATAGAGATGGCTCAGGGGCACGAGTGGGCTGCGAAACTTCCAATCAAAGTCCAAATGCACTCTTTTGTTTTCTAATTTACTAGTATTTTTATTTTGCAATTTCGCATTTCTTTCGAAATAATCAGAATAGATAAAAGAATTTTCAAAAATGTTCTTAGGCTTGTGTTTTTTTATTGTCAATCTCCAAATGCCTGTCGGGTACTCCATCCCAATGGTAATTTGTGAACTGGCCCTCAAATATTTGTTTTGGAGTAAATATTTCATGATGTCCACGTGGAATTCCTTGTGAGCATTTTTTTAATTCCTCAGTACGATTAAAATATATTTTGTATTTTTAGTAAAGACAGTAAACACACAAAAAAAAAGCACAAAGCAGGTAACACTGACATCCAGCGGAAATAGTGAGTATGTGCACATCTCAAACGTACTCCCTGCAGGCGTCATAATATCAGCCCCAATTAGCTAAGTCGTAATAAATTAAGCACTTTTTGAAAACAACAACAGCAATGCCGATACCACTACTGATGATCATTTGAATCTACCAATTTATCTTTAAATAGGGCAGTTGTCGAGAAGAAAACACAACAAAACAATGCCATAAGCCGGAAATGAACTACAACTCCCGGCATGCACCTGCCGCTTACCAGATGACAAGGCCGCAGCTGGGCGCCAGGGAACCCGGGAAGCCAAAAGAGCAACCAGCGTCATCAATTGTCCTCGTTCATGAAATTACCGGTGGATCACGCTTGACAGTCCACTCGACATGGCCACCCAACCAGATGTGGCGCGTATCGGCAGAAAACTTGACAAAATGGTCCACAAGAACAACACGGTGAGTGAGTGCCCAACATCTCTTATGATAAAAGCTGACATCAGCAACTGTTAAAGGGAACGACAACATTCGTCATAATGAGAACAAAATCAGAGCATTGATTGGTCAAAATCGCTGAGTCCGAATCACTTCCACCTGGAATCAAATTACACTCAAAAAGCTTAAACGCATTATATTTATATATTATTTCAATAAAATTTAAATTCAAAGGTAGAAACTAAAAAACGCGGGACATTTATAAAATGAAATGTGGGGAATATTTTGGTCATTTTTCATTGTCTGTATATAAATGCTTAAAATCAGTGTTTCACAGCCAGGGGGTTGCAGGGGTTGTACGTGGGACATTTATTTCCAAGACAAGTAAATATCTTTCGTGATTTCAATTTCATCAGCCCGTCAATAAAATGCAATAGTTACGCTCCAACTTTATTTCCCTGGGAGACATTAACCCGTGACTCGTCCGTACGTGTGTCAGAAGTATTTCATTAAATCTCAGATGACTGACAGTTTTTGCCCCCCCCCCCAAAAAAAAACAACAAAAACGAGTGGTAATCAAATGATCTATTCACCAACATAACAAATGTTACCTAATCATGGTTGTTGTTTTTTTATTTGACTCAAACTGTGTTGTCATGGGAGTGCGTTTGCAGGCATTTCTCCCTCCAAAAAGGTATTTGGGTAAAACTTCAGCTCACATTTTCGAGCAAACATGCTTTATACAATACAATACAATACATCCTGATTGATTTATATTGTGCTTTCACAACAGCTACAGCTGCAACAAAGCGCTCTCCAAAACAGTTAACATAAAGTAAATAATAAACACAAAACACAACATAAAAACACGGACAGTCGTGCAATCTTAACCACTTTTACCTCATACGCTTTGTTGTTTGAAGCAGTTTGAGATGAAAAAGGACAGAATCAATATGTGTCTTTTCACCAGTGGATCAAAGGCGTCATGCTCAAAATGTGTACACATCGGCTACAAGCTAAGTTTCAAAGTAAACAAGAAACTGTAGCGTCCATTGAGTTAAAAAAAGAGATTGGTACACTTCTCCTGTCCCATGTAAATCCGTGTCAATTCCAAGCGGAGACTCTCAGTTCCAAATACGTATCCGTGCTCCGTGTCGACGCTCCTCACTCTTCATCCTCAACTTCAGCAGATCATCCATCCAGTCGCACTAACGCAGACTGTCCAACAGCGCCGACATCTCCACTGAACAAAATGGGGCTGTGAAAAATGCTGCCCATTACAGGCGCAAAAACACAAGCATCCAGGGGATGTCCAGCACCGACAGTCAAATTGCGCCACCATTCCTCCCAATCAAAATCAGTGCTGGTACAAGCGTGCTGCCGAGAAGGCGCAACCACCAAGCACGGATTCTCCTCCTTTGACGAATGAATGGCCAAAAAAAAACAAAAAACGCTGAAAGCAATCCACATCAGGTGCACACGACGTAACACCAAACACCATGTGACAGAACAAAAGACAAAAAAACCAACAACAAAAAAAAGCAAGGCTCTTGAAAAGTACTTGCTAACGCCTACTCGGGCGCCATCTTGTGAAAACAAAAATCACAAGGATTAGATTAGTCTACTTTTACACAAAATTAGCATTATCAAACATGAATTGAGTGACAGAATGCAACAACCCCCCCCCCCAAACCCCCATCTCCCTACCCTGACTTGACCTAACGTCCCCTGTTAGATGTGCTCATCAAATTCCAAGTGGGATATTTTGAACATCCCAACAGTCTTGAGATACAGGGCAGGTACATAAAATGTGGAATTCACTGTCACAAATGTTGTCTTGCAGGATGGTGCTTTGGAACTGCTGAGCGAATTGAAGAACATGACAATGTCTCTGGAAACTCTGCAGGTTGATTTTAATTTAATCCCCAATGATTCATTGGCGGTAGCACGAGTAGGTTCAGGCTTGGAATCTTAGCTCTGACCTTGTTGCTCTCGCACGTTCTCCCTGTCAAGTACTTAACAAACTTACAGGAGGCACTATTATAACCCCTGTCGATAAAACCGTTTTCACGGAAGCATGGAGCTGCTAATGTGGAGTCAAGGTATTTTGATTGGCACATGCGTTCAAACGTACTTGCGAGTATGTTCGAACATACTTACATTCAAAGTTACTCTCAAATATTTGAACATACTTGGAGGCTAAATGCTACAAATGTTTCCCAAAATACCACGGGGTATCGACTTGCGCATGCAGAGTCAAAATGTTTGTATTTATTTGTTTAGTTATGTATTTGACCTGCATTATAGTAATACACTGTATGTTCAAAAATTAAATAAGTAAATATTCTTCATATGTAATTTTATAGTTTTATTGTGTTTGCAGTGCATTGCTTACGTTAGGCATTTTATCCCCTTAATGCCACGGCTATTGACTTCTGCATGTGAATGCCCTGTGGCATTATGGGAAAAACCTTTATTCTTTTCTAATTATACCAATACACCAAAAAATTAAGTAAACATTGTTTTTTTCTTATTTTTTTGGTTTTATTATGGCTTTAACAATGATGTACGTATTTTTTTCCCCTTAATGCATATGCAAGGTAATACCCTGTAGCACAATGGTAAAATGCTACATTTGTAGCATTTAGCCTACATGTACGTTGGAATGTATTTGCGAGGACGTTGGATCGTATTTGCGAGGACGTTGCAACGTATTTCAATACGCACTTGAATATGTTTGAACGTATGTGCCAGTCAAAAATGTTTACTTATCAATCTTTTTATTTTGTCCCCCGCTGTTGCCATGGCGATGTGCTGTTTCCAGATGAAAATGGGACCGTTTTTTTAATCTCTTAATCTCTGCGAAAACTCATGAAACTTTGCACGCACATCAGGCTTGCGGCATTTATTTTAGTCGTTTATTGTCCTATGTGCCAGTACCCCAATGTGCTCGTACCAGGCTTGCTTTACAGCTGCTTGGAGCTACAGTTATCAGCGGTATTATTGGGGGGGAAGAAAACTGTTCATATTGAAGTACGTACTGTAAATGACATTGAAAATTTAATTTGGGAAAATCTTCACTCTGACCCAATCATAGCAAAATAAATGTTTAGTAAACCCAACAGGTATTTTGCATGCGGACCAAAGTCCAAAATGCCGAGGAAACACTTCAATTTCATGTAATGTCATTTGTTCAGTCCACCAGAGTTGGAATGTCGGTGAATGCTGTGAGGAAAATAAGTTCAGATCAGGAAGTACAGAATCTGGCCAAAGTGCTCATCAAGTCCTGGAAGAAATTAATAGGTGTGTGTTTTTGTGAATGCAGCGGAACCTCTGGAGTCAAACTGACTTGCAATCATCCTTTCTATGAATCTGGACTCTCATCTTTAAGTGTGCAGGCTTTGTTTTAAGAAACGTGGGACGCGAAAAGGCCACCCTTGCTCTCGAGGCAATTTCTTCCACAACATTTTGGTCAAATTCTGACGTGTGTGACCCCTGCAGCATTCAACTTTGGAGGTTCCCCTGTATTTACAGAGTTTATGAATAGTACATCTTCCCATGTTTAGAATTTAGAAATCATACTTGGTTATGTTATTTCTGGTTGTGTCAGCTGGCTCTAAGGGTAAGTCAGAAAAAAAGGAGAAGAATGACACTTCTCCGGTGAGGACATCTTCCACATCCAAGGACTTGTGCAGCAGTGAGAAAAGGTGTGTCCTATAATCACCGTAGCGTCTTGTCATCGTTATGCCACATCATCGTTGTTGAATGCAAATGCTAATTTCATGAGCATTAGCCAAGGGGTTACGCTCACAGTGGGGTTTTGGCGACACCAAGGTTGTTGGTTCTAAATATCGCTGATGAGACCGTAATTGAATAACTTTTGAACTTCATCATGGTGCCTTCATAGCAAGGAGTGGCTCCTCGCTTGGGCTAGGTCCGAGTCCCGAAATCTGATCCAAGGCCTATTTTTTTTTTTTTTTTTTGGGTCCCATAAAAATGTTGTGTTCTTTTTAGGATTGTGTTTTGACAAAATGGATTTTTTTTCTACACTGTTACTTATGTTCATTTGATCTGTTAAGAAAAAAAAAATCTATTTCTCTGGGAGTTGATGCAAGTTAAAGCGGGGGGGCAAAAATATTTTTGTGTCAAAGCTTCAAGTTAAAGTTTTTAATGTTTTTTTTTTTAAAAAGCTTTTTGGATATCAGCAGAAAAAAAAACAAAAGCAAATTCCAGATTTTATTTGAAGGCCATTTCGCCTGACTTTTTTTCCACATTTGTAAGACACCTGATTCTAATCTGAAGATATGTAATGTCTTTTTTTTTTTTTTTTGTCTTCACCCTTTTATGAGTATTCCCGTTGCGCCATCAGAGAGCAAAAAATTGAAATTTGCTTGAACCATGCATTGTAATCCAGCTTTATTGACATATATTGAGGGACAATGTGGTAGTGTGCGATAACCATGCATTGTAATCCAGCTTTGACATATATTGAGGGACAATGTGGTAGTGTGCGACAAGTCGTTGAGCTCCGAACATGTTTTTTTTTGTTTGTTTGTTTGTTTGTTTAATGTGGTCACACACACAAGATTAGAGCCAAGTCTCCTGTTGCCCTGTCCTCTCCGGTGACATCCTTCCCAGCCATTCCCCTCACCACAGACAATGTTCGGAATAAATGTCGAGAGTTGCTGGTGGCGGCGCTGCAAACTGCTGGTGAGGGATGATGTTATTTGCAATTATTTTGTTCTTAGATTATGATCAGAATTCATTTTATTGGTGAAAATAATTTATGACTGTAGATTTAGAAAGAAAAAAAGAAAAATGTTTTGGAATTCAAAAACATGTATCAAGGGGTAAAAATGTCAAAAGGGTCGAAGTGAAAGTTTAAGTTAAACATCTTCATGTTGAAATGGACAGACAAAGTAAAAAAGAAAAAAACAGCACAGTAACACAATACTTTGGCTTCCTCCCACATTTCAAAAACATGGACAGTGCCGTGAAAAAGTACTTCGTCCCTTCGTGATTCTTCATTTTTATTTGCATTTTCATCACACGTAAATATTTTCATCATTAAACCAATTTTAGTATTTCACTAAGGGTGCGTCTCGTGTCCCTGTTACAAGACTGCTTGTTTAACCGTGAATGGCGGCTGCATTGAGCAGAAGGCCAGCATTAATTGCATGACAAATGAGTGAAAAAAGAAATATACAAGCTGTGCCTGTCGGAATTATGTCACAAGTGTTCAAGACAAAACTACAAGAAAAACAAGGCAGAAGTTCAACTCTTGGGAACGCATGCAGACGGTTACATCTGGCATAAAAATAAAAGATTTAGTAAAAGTAGCATCATTCCAACAGTCCAACATGATGGCAGAAGTGTGATGGGATGGGACTGCTTTGCTACTGCAGGACCTGGACAACTTGAAAATAATACAGGCGTATGATGCGGCTATCAGTTAGTGTCTGCAAGCACTTGCCTCCTGGTTTTGATAATTGGACACATTTAAGCGTGATAAATATGCACCAAATTTTGAAAACGCACAGGTGAACTTAATTTTTCAGGGCACTGTATGTTAATTTTACCTAAATCTAAATTGTCATGTGACACTAAAAGTCTAAATTGTCAGACTTCATGTTTTAATTTGCTTCGTTCACATTTAGTCCACAAACTAGTTAAACCTTAGTGCCTTTGATAGTCTTGTACATCATCCTTCATTAGTAAGAAATACATGTCTAAAAATCTTTTTTTTCCCCCCCAGATGACTACAAGACCTTTGGAGTCGACTGTAGCCTCCTTGCGGCACAAATTGAGGAACATATCCTTTCTTTGACTCGATTATATAACCACAAGATATCCATTTAATAGTTCTGGTTTCATTTTGGGTTTTTTAGAGGTTAGGAGCAAGGTACAGTGAACCTGTAAAGGCGAACAACATCCTCAGTGCCATCCAATCATGCCTCTGTGACAATACATGGGATAATCAGCTATGACCTGAATACGCCTGCCTTTTTTATAGCCACCGAATTATTTAAATACAAAATATATTAAATGTAAAACACTCAACATGCATCACACGGCACTGCAAACGTAGTTAAGTGACCCGATGTACGTGAGGAATTTGATATCCTTGACAGCTGGTCGCGCTCACAGATCTTTGAGAATTTCAAGTCGACGGACATAAAGTACAAAGCGCGTCTACGGAGTCGAATCTCCAACCTCAAGGACCAGAAGAACCCGGACCTGCGGCGGAACGTCCTGTGTGGGAACATCTCCGCTCAGCGGATCGCCTCCATGACTTCTGAGGTCTGCTTGCCTTGCAACCACCGCTTCGGCTCACGCTCAGTTGACGAGTCACTGCCGTGCGTTTTTGGATGTGGTGTGTGCGTGTTTGTGCTCGAGCAGGAGATGGCGAGTGCAGAGCTGAAGAAGATCAGAGAGACTCTGACCAAAGAGTCCATTCGAGAGCATCAGCTGTCCAAAGTGGGCGGGAACAAGACTGACATGTTTGTGTGCAAAAAGTGTCAGGGGAGGGACTGCACGTACACACAGGTACGAGTATACACACACACACACACACACACACACACACACACACACACACACACACACACTAAATACGTAGGTCTGACTGTGTGGTGCACCAATCACTGCTGTGCATTTTTTTTTTTATTGTATTTTTTTTAGGTGCAAACTCGCAGTGCTGACGAGCCAATGACCACCTTCGTATTGTGTAACGAATGTGGCAACCGATGGAAGGTAAAGGCATCATATTCATGATTCTTCTTGTCGGGACTTTTTTACTTGACCGTAGAGAAAACCAAGCCTCAATTAGCGGTGAAGTGTGTGTTAGATATTTTTGCAAATTCAATTTTAGTTCAATAATTGATGTAGGGTTTAACTTTTTCTTTTCATAAACAATGACATTAATTCAAATAATTTTACAATATAGAATGTATTACAATAACACGTTTTTTTTCACTGACCTTTGAATGGAACCTCAGTTTAATAAGTTCCCTGTTCATAAATAAAAATTTTAAGAAGAAGATTTTTATCCAAATTTTGCTGCAGTTGATGAATTCAAGCTCAGTTGTGCAGGAACGGTTGTTTGCTCTTTGTGTCACATACAGTGGCTTTGAAAAGTCTACACACCCCTGTTCAAATGCTCGGGTTCTGTCAGGAGGGGCGGCAGTGAAGAACTGATAAAATAATTCCAAAATGTTTTCCACGCTTGACCTATAACCTGTACAACTCAATTGTTGAGAAACAATATTAGAACATCTGAAAATTGTTTGGAATGAATCATATAATGACTCCCATTGATCACGAGTTTGATTGTGATCGGCTCTTTCTGAACGCAACCCCGTCCGCAAGTAGAAGAGGATGTGCAGACTTGTGCCACCACATTCTCAGCTCTTTTTACTTTCTGCCTCAATGGTGGAAAAAGTTTTGGAGTGATTTATGGTCACTTTTTTTTTTTTTTTTTAAAGATCACAACATCTTACCATTTCCTGAACCAAAGTTCCACTGTATTATAAATATGTAGGCCCGCGATCCTAATTGAGGAGAAATGGTTCCGAAAATGAATGGGTCAGAATAAAAAACAAACAAATTCTCCACCAGGTGGCAGCAGAGACCAAACTATTGTTTGTTTCTCTCCGTTATTTTAAGTCGTTCTCTTTTCTGGACTCTTTTTGTTGTTATGCCACCCTGAACTGCCATAATTACATATCTCTCCATCCATTTTCTACACCGCTTGGATTTGAGCCGTGGATGTCACTCCAATCGATGCGCAACTTTACTGGGCAGTAACAGAATCACATTTGGTCAACGCTGACGATACTGTATTCACATTCACTCCAATGGATAATTTGGATCGTCTTCGCTGTGAATCTTCATGCTTTAACCTCGAATAATCCATATGGAAAAATAAGTAAATGATCATTCATAATGCAAAGCTAAAATGTATTAACTCATTTCTTTTGAAATCGGACACATTTTTATCAAATTTTTCAAAAATTCTTTTTGTCTTTCAGTTCTTCTGAGGAGTGCTGTTTTACTGTGCCACCGTGACGTAAAAACAAGCTGAATTTTGGTTTGAAGGTTAGCTTTGTTTTGTAACATTTCTAAAAAAAAATGCATATACAAATATGCATAATATATTTAAGAAAGTAATGATGGGGATATTGGGAGGAAAAACGACAAGTTTGTATCTGTTGGTGTTATTTTGAAAAAATATTAAGTAGCACAATGATGAACATAATATTTCCTCCAGGTGTTAAGCTATGAAGGCTTTGTGGACTGAATGTGTTCTTGTTTTGCACACAATGTTGTGCCCAATAAAGTTGCTCTTGAATCATTGCAAACATAGCCTTGGTGCTGATTCAGTGATCAGCACATTCATTTATTTATTTATTTTTACTTTTGGCATTTGCCAGCATCATTTTTGAGTTCAAAGTGAGAAGACTAGTCATTGACTAGTGGATGACACCTATTTGTTGTGGAAACTCAGCTCAGCTTCTTTCCGTACATGAACATGGGGAAGAGGATGGTACTTGGGTCCTGTGTGATGTGAGGAATCTCGGAACAAAACATTGTGAGGTCAAACGGTTCTGACGGAACCCAGCCAGCTGGTTGGGAAAAAAAGTTATCAGGAAAGTAGCGCTCCTGTTTTGAAGTGCAGTCGTGTTCCGTATAATAAAAATATAAATATAAAATAGTTTGAGTGAAATGTTATTCATATAAATATTCTTGTTGAATACTCTTATTCATTCTGTTTTCGGATCTGGAACAGGCCGGGTGCCGGAGGGACTGAATCTTGCGTGTGTGTGTGTGTGTGTGTGTGTGTGTATGTGTGTGTGTGTGTGTGTGTTTATGCATGCACACATGCTTGTATTTGAATAAGTGTATGTTTACGTGATGTGTGTGTGTCATACAGACGATGAATCCCATACAAGGATCAGATTACTGTGAACTGCGGAAAGCAAAATATGAGGGAGAACTATAAATTGACTGTTTGACTGCGTGTTTAGTAAGTTAGTGTGTGAGTGTTGTGTCAACAATGAGCTTTGCTCAAGTCATGTTCACTTTGGACTCAAAACAACTGCAATAAGAGCTTAGTTAGCAAGGATGGTAAAAGAACACACATCCATACATGCATTGAACGCTTTGAACATTTTTTTCACAGCTTCGGAGGTCTTCGGAAAATATATGTAGTTGTTAATGATGAAGTTGCACAACTATGCCACATCACAGTTTTTGCGACAATTGTAATGCATTAAATCACATGACTGGTTTTGTAAGTTAGGTTTTGGTTTCTGGTATAGACTACAGATGGGTAACTGGTGGTTCGCAGGCGACCACGTGCTCAGTGGCCCCTTGATACATTCCACCATCCATTTTCTGATCCGCTTTATCCTCACAAGGGTCGCAGGGCGTGCTGTAGCCTATTCCAGCTGTCATTGGGCAGTAGGCGTGGGGCACCCTGAACCGGTTGCCAGCCAGTCACAGGGCACATATTGACAAGCAACCATTCACACTCACAATTACACGTTGGGACAATTTTGAGTGTTCAATCGGCCTGCCATGCATGTTTTTGGAATGTGGGAGGAAATTGGAGTACCCGGAGAAAACCCACGCAGGCCTGGGGAGAACATGCAAACTCCACACAGGAAGGCCGGAGTTGGAATTGAACCTGGTACCTTTGCACTGTGAGGTCGATGTGCTAACCACTCATCCACTGGGCCGTAAATTATTACTTTTGTGATTGATTGATTTTTTTATTTGAAATTACTTTTTAATTTTTTGTACAAACGCCAAATCCAAGAATCACTGAAAATCGTATATGATTTCAGGGAGGTGGGGAGGTAAATGAAGGTGTGTCTGGGGAATCCTGGAAATGCTCGGGAAAATCCAAAATATGAAGAAATATGGGGGAGGGGGGGAGACATCCACAAATATGTGGATCTGCAGTTGCTGAACTGCAATAATGCAGGAGTGGACTGTAGTTTTAAATTGGATGATGACAAATCGTCACTAGATGGCAGAGATGTCTTTGTTGCACTTATACTGTGTGATTGAACAACCAACTAGCCTGAATAATTTTGGGGCAGATTTGGAATGAGACAGAGGCCCAGGACAAACATTATCCCTCAATAATATAAACATTTTGAGTAAGTTGATTTTTGTGGAAAAAAAATGTCCAAAATTAGTTCTTCCGCCTAATGTTAGTTTATTGTTCAGCAGTTATGGTTTTGTGAATCGATATTGAAAAGGAAAATCAATTTGATGAATCAAATTTTTTAAAACTCAGCCCTATATTTTGTTTTTTGTTTGTTTCAAACCCTTTGCTGTTGGTTTTGATCTTTTATACATTCATTGAAAAAGGTATTGTTAAAAATGGAATATATTAAGAGCATATATGATTGGATTTTGTCCATATTGAAAACACAATTTTTTTCATACTTCTGGTTAGAAAGTGCGTGCATTAAATAGAAACAATCGAACGAATCACAAAACGAAAACACCCCAAAAAAGAAGGCAACTTATTGGATATTCAAGACTTTGTTTATATATGTACAATTAAAATCACAGTTTTTCAACCAAATAAAAAATAAATAACATGATAATAGCAAGATAAATGCATTTAGTGACCAGTTTCGTTAAAAACAAGGCTTTTTTTTTCATATTTGCCTCCATAGACTGATTCTAACTCAGTTTCCCCACAAAGCATTACGAACCAGCCACAAGCAGTTTGACTAATGGCAAAACACAATACAGGCACAGTCTTAAACATTCTGATTTACAAAGACACTAATGCTCACAGAGAGCTCTGCCTCAATGAAGAAACAGAAATAACGGACACAGCTCTCATGGTGATGCAGTTATCCACGACAAACCAAATGATAAAACATTAAATGGCTAAATGAAAACCTCCATGACGATGTAAATGGCAACTCTTATATTTGTGAAAACACAATATTTGAGACAGCTACGGCATGAGATATCATATTATGCAAGTGTTCAAAATGCTGTGACTGGTTTTGCACTTCGGAATGTCCCTCCACCTCACCCGTGAATCCACCAACCACAGCTGAGCCCGGAGGCTGGCGGCAGCCAATCAGGAGCCGGCGGCAAACAGTGGGGAGGTCAAAGGTGAGAAGTCGCAAAGGCAGGGATCAGCAGTAGCAACCAGGGAGGCCACCCGGGTGAGTGCAAGTGTGTGTATTTGCATCACTAGACTGACAAATCCGGTAAAACAATTTTGACTTTGGCTGCTGGGAAATGTTTTACTTTGTTATGACATCCTAAGACATTTCCGAACATGGTTTAACAGTAAGACATTGCTGGGCTTTAGACACAAATGGTTCCTGTGGAACCTCGAAAGTCGAACGTCTCAGAGGTTGTACAATTTCAGAACATGCTTCAAACTTCAAACCGCCGACAAACATTACTTTACGTGTCAATGAATGTCAACTTTACAGGGAAGTCAAGTCAAATATTGGCCTTATGATAATCTGTTGAATGAGCACCCACCAGGTGTGGACACAGCATTCTGATTAATATTGCGTTTGTGTGATGTTAATTCAGCAGCGAAATCCACATCCACCTGTTTTGATCCATCTCAGGGGGCGGCCATTTTGACGTGTCCCATTTTAGCCCCCCTCCCAGAGCTGGATAAAAATGGGTGGATTGTACTGCTGAAGAAACACAATATTAATGCCGTGTTTAGACTTGTGGGGTCGCACTGAACATTTTTGACTGAACTTGCTCTGAAATAAAGTCAATTCAACAAGCCTTAAAGGATTTACAGCATGTATTGTTCGTTTGGCGTTTCTTCGAACACATATTCCATTAGTAGAAGTATCCTAAACAAGAAGTGCTAAGAGAAGAAGAACACAAGAAAAAAAAAAAAGTAAATATTGGAGTCAAGTCAGTGGCCTCATATTTATGTCAGTCAGACTCCGAGTTGCAATATAAGCAAATGAAGTCACTTGTTTTTCCCAAATTAAGGCAGACATTGTTTTTACATTTTACCATTAGAATTACTATTTACACTGATGCGTAGGTAATTGTAAAAATACATGAAACTTAAATTTATTACACCTTTTTCATTCATCATTGCTATTTTTGCATTTGAATAAAGTGGTGCCTTGAAATACGAGCGGCGCGACTTGTAACTTTTTTGAGACAACCAGCTATCATTCGGCTGGTTTATTTTCATTACAATTTTTTTTGTTTTGTTGCTATTTCTTACAAGCACAAACTTGAGATCCAAGCGCTGTTAGGTGGCAGTGAACTCATTTCACAATAAGCAGCAGTTTGATAAACAGTGAACAATTTGTCAATGTTAGGCTGCAAGCTGTTTAACGTGACTCCCAGTTGAAGTCCACTGTCAAACTCAACAAATCAATGACAATTACATGCCGTGTATTTAACATAACATTCCTTCAAAAAGGCATGCTAGCTTAACGCTAACATATAGTGGGAAACGACACTGACATGCTAACGGCTAGCATCGACAGCTGCGGTTTTACAAACCCCAATTCCCATGAAGCTCGGAAGTAAAATGTAAATAAAAATAGAATACAATGATTTGCAAATCCTTTTCAACCTAAATTCAAATGAATACAGTACGAAGATGATATTTCATGTTCAAACTGATAAACCTGATTGGAATCGGGGTTTGTAGAAGCAAGAGAGAGCCGAGTACAAAGGTAGAGCAACACGTATGAAGATTGTCACAATACTCACAAGCATATATTCTTTTCCCTCTATGAAAAACGATGTTAAGGCATCTTACTGTGTCACAATAGTAGAAGTACTACACTTCTTCATTTGTGTTTGCCTGACTGTATTCTATTTTCTCCCAGTGTCCAAGGAGGGGCACACCAGAAGGAGCAGCACAATGAATTAAATTGCAGCATGAAAACATGATGTACAAACGGTTTAATTATTTACATTTGGTTTCATCTCCGTTATTACTCTATGCTTTTATAAAGTACCACTATTTATCTTTATTCACAAAAACCATTTTATTTTGTCTTTTTTTTTTTTGCGGTGGCTGGAACAGATTCATGGCAGTTTGAGATGTGTGTTTGGAGTTACGAGCGCGGTCACGGAATGAATTCAATTCATATCTCAAGGCACCACTCTTAACAGTGGTTAACATTTTCTTGGAGTTGTGTAACAGTTGAGAATGTTAAAATGTCACGCAAAACACTGTCTATTCAGTTAAGAGGTTTTATAATGGAAATAATAAAATTGGAGGTTGACCAGCATCTCAGAATAGATTGTGTTCGACCAGAGAGGTTCCAGTGTACTTATAAATAAATAAATATACTACAGTCGAATCTCCTAAAGCACAGGTGTCAAAGTCAAGGCCCGGGGGCCAAATCCGGTCCCCTACGTCATTTTATGTTGCCCGTGGGAGCAAATCATGTGTGTCAACTATCATGATTCTTGCTGAAATCTGAACCGAAATGTCAAATTGTCATGGGTCATAAATAACGTTGAGATTTTGCGCCGGCCCCCCGAGGGAAGTCGTAACTCCGAAGTGACCTGTGATAAAAAATGAGTTTGACACCCCTGTCCTCAAGGATGGTGATATACATAGTATGCATGTGTATCTGCATCACCCCACTTAAGTTTTCTGAGAAGAAGAAAAAAAAAACTATATATATATATATATATATATATATATATATATTGAACATGAGCTGTTCAGACAGTTTTACTTGTATGAAACACATGTTCAGTTTCATGTTAGTCACAGAATAACATTATACCATCCGAAGTAAGGTGATATAAATACTGTGTGTGTGTGTGCGTGTGCGTGTGTGTGTGTGTGTGTGTGTGTGTGTGTGTCGGTGCATGTGTTTGGACTCCAGTTTTTATTGCAGCTTGAGTGTGTTGCATCACGTGTTGGGTCATTTCAGTCCGAAAAGGAATTGCCTCTTTTTCATTCAAAGAAACCCCCCAAAAAAATCCCAGAGTGTGAAAAGTGTGAGTGACCAGGAACGAAATCTAAATCGATGAACAAGGGTTCAAAAGCCCTTGTCGTTACTTTTCAGGGAATAAAACAACAACAACTCTGATTTGAGTTTGTAAATCGGTAGTCAGCGTCCATCATGAGTCTATCACAGCAGTGAGAAGAATCAGTTTGGAGAAATGGTCCTGTGCTTTCCAGTTGGCAAAGAGGGAGAAAGATCACTCCTGAAAGAAGGCAAACAAGGCAATGGGGTGGGCAGAGTCTTGCTCTCAGCTCAGTAGCTCTTAAAGGTGATTGGCTGGTTAACTAGCTCAGAGATTTGAACTTCTGCAGTCTTCGGGCCGCCTAAAATATCAGGTGGCTGGGAACACTAGCGATGAGGAAGGAGTTGGGCAAAGACAAGGAGGTACTGTGAATGGAAAAAAAATCAACATAAATAATGACAGTTTCTTGGTTTTGTGTAAATTTGCGATTTAGTTTTTTTTTTTAAATACAGTGAAACTCCTCTACAACGAAATCGTGTTTGCGGCAAGAAATTTTTCACAACAGGGGGTTTTTCACTGTAGCAAATTTGGTCTCAGATGTAAGCACACACACACCCACCCACACAAACATATGTGTACACGCACACAAACGTATGTGTACTCTATTTTTATTCCAATAGTGCATAAGTATGAGCATACACTTATTTGACACTTCATATTGTCAGTGTAGAAAGAAAAAAAGGTAAAGAAATTGCGAAATTTACAATCAGCATTCACTTTCACTTACATCAATTTCTTGGATCATGTCATTTATTTTGCTTGCTCCGTCTTTCATTTTGATCACTTTTAACCTCTCTTCCAGCATCAGAGCTCTTCTTGTCTTAGCTGCTTGACATCCAAAGGTCCTTTTGTAGCCATTTTAGCATTATAACGTCCACGCTCGTCTGAATCTAACAATAACAAATACTTCTGGACCCGGTGGCTTTTCTTTCCACCATCTCACTGTCTCTACCTAACCCTAACCCAAGACAGCGTTGCTCAGCTGATGTTCATGCAATGAACTTTTAAACCAGCCACACCTCGTAGTTCTAAATGGCCACAGTTAGCTTTCGAAGGCTAAAAACGTTACGCTAACTGGAGCGCTAATGAGAGAGAAGCGCTCCAGTTAGGTCCCTCTTGGCAATGGCAGAGCAGCTATGAGTTTGTTGAGTCCAGGAAACTCGCAGCTGTGACCGAAATAAACATTGTTCACTATGTAAACCAGTGTGGTGTTTGCTGTTGCCGTTTCCGAACGAACCGGTAGAGGTCGCTGTTGGATAAAACTTCGTTGTAGTGAATGTCTTTGCGAGGCTGGAGCAGAGAAAATGATTTCGTATAACGCAACAGGGGTTTTTTCGTCGTATGGGGGGCAGGAGAATGGGAATTGTGTTAATGCATGAAGATTTTTTCACATAAGGGGGTATTTTCGCCCATGTAGGTTTCGTTCTAGAGGAGTTTCACTGTAGCAAAATTAATTTATTTGTGGTGTGTTGATGTGAGTGTACAATGGTATTTGACAGCAATCCAACTTGAACAAAGTGATGTCACGGCAACACAAGCAAGATGGCGTATTGGGGAGGATTTCCTGAAAAGTTGTCATTTTGACAGTACGAGGATTCCGCCGGGCATTGACGATATGTTGTTAACGCCCTGTACATTCATCGGACGAAAAGGAGTCATAAAAGGACCAAAACGATGGTGATAAACTTGAGCCAATATATTGGTTAACGTGAACTTATTAATTAGACAATCAAATTATATCCTATCAATTTACAGTCTTGACTCAGAGTCGCAGTTGGAGGCTAGTATTTGCATAGCGTATAATAAGAGATAGTACTATAACAATACCAGTTGTAGTTTTTACATTGTAATTTTACATTATCCAAATCTCTGGATTGCCCTGCGCATTGCAGTAACTTTGCCTGCTTCAGTCTTTTAAAAAAGTGAAGCTCATTCAAAAAAATGTGCGCTCGTCAAGAGCGCTAAAGCGGCCTGGCGATTCGAAGCATCAATGATGACATCGCACAGCAGTTGTCATACAATGACCTCATTAAAGACCCTGCATCCAGAAAATGCAGACGTATTTCTCTGTTCAAGGCACACATGCATGTTCGCTTTAGGTATAATGATTTCTTTTCAGTTTGAAGTTATTTTTATTTCGGATTTATTTATTTAAGTTGAATTTATTTGATTACTGCAATTAATTGGTTCCTGGTAAAAAAAAAAAAAAAAAAAAAAAGATTGTCCAATGGCATCTTGTGGTATGGTCATTTTGTACCACATTTGGGATAGGAAGAGAACAATGTTTTCCTCATTTGGAGCCTATACCAGGAGATTTTGAACAAGAGGTGAGGTGCACCCTGGACAGGTCGCCAGCCAACTGCAGGGCACATATAGACAACCAGTAACACTGACATTCACACCTATGAAGAATTTTGAGTCTTTGATGAACCTAACATGCACTGCGTGCCTTTGGAATGTAGGAGAAAACCAAAGTACATCCGTGGATGTTGCCCAGATTGAATAACACTAATCGAAATATTATAGTGCTAATATTGTTCAAGGGTTTCTGGTGGGATTTTAAGATCCGTTACTGTACACATCGTAGCGACATACATTTTAGTCTCCGCGAGCTCTTGCGATTGAATTGAATTGAATTGCTCCGGTTGGCGAAAGTGAGTCAGCGCTATTTGCAGTCCTCTTTGGATTTTGAGGGAAATATGAAGCCCTAGATCATCCGGATTGTCGAAATACAGTATGTTCTGTGCGGTTTCCAAATGGACCAAAAAAATGGTGTCGGATGATAATCATCACTAATTAGCAGTTTCACTTCTCAAATAAATAAATAAATCCTGTAAAATCCCGTGAATAACACACCCCCATGTACAATAAAAATGACCCATAGCTACTGCCTAGGTACTGGTAAACATCTAAACAATGTGAACATTTTTCAAATCAAGCCGCTTGATTTGGGATGTTTTTGGGTTTTTTTCAAGCAAATGAGTGTTATTCATGGGATTTTGCAGTATGTTGGATAGAAAACTGAGCAGAGCTATTTAAAGAATGAAAAGACTGATTAAAAAGGAAGGTGGAGAAAAGGGGGAAGTACACAAGAGGGCAGTTGAGACAAAAGTGGCTTGAAGGTGTCTTAGCCACTGTCAAGTCTTGGCAGTCACGGCATAAATTTGGGGTAAGGGCAGTTTCACCTGAAGGGTATGAAATGGTCGGAGGGGAGGCGTGTCGACAGCGCAGGACTAGGACTCAGAGGAGCTGCGTGAGTTGCCGTGAAGGAGCGACTTGTAGATGCTGGAGGAGAGGAATCGTGGGTAGGAGTCCCTATGCATCAGCGTGTAGATCTGCAACTGGGCGTCCTCGAAAGTGTGAGGCGTCGGGTCCTGCATCTTCTTGTTGATCACCTCTCGTACGCGAGCGTCCAGACTCACCTGGAAGGAAAACCAACAAGCTCAGTGAGGAAGATCCCGCCTCAAGATTGCTCACCTCAAGTCCATATATCTTTTCTCATGTCAAATTATTAAGCAGGGTGTTTTTATCTACAGTATATTGCATAATCATTCCACCCTGCAAAAATTGAATCGTTCAAAATTATGAATGTCATATTGATCCCCATGTTGTCTAACCATCAATGTAAATTTCACACCACAGATCAAATTCACTATGATAAATAAAATTACAGGTCATTTTCTTTTTGTGGTCAAGTACACATCTTTGCCAATATTATGCAAATGTCTCAGTCTAACACCACATTTTATTTACTCATGCCATTTTATCGATGAAGATCTACAATGTCACCCATTAATGTCACATAAGGAATTTATGTTATTTTTTTTAAGTCCTCGCATACACAGCGGGCCACGGGAACAGACTGGCACTTGGCCCGGTTAACATACATCCACCTAAGGAAACTGAGGTGTTATCTGTAGATGTAGTGCTACTTATCACATTTTACTGGAAAAAAAAAGTCAACTGGGCTGTGTGTTTTTGTGTCTGCGCACACAGCGGGGACTATTCGAGAACCGTATTTTCCGCACTATAAGCATTCCATTTTTTCACGAGCCGACTGTGCACTTTATAATCCGATGCACCTTAAATATGGATCAATATTCGGATTTCTTGGATACAGTATTTTAAATGTTCTGTGCTTTGTTGTTCCAGCTGCAGCGGTTTTCAAAGCACCATATAAATAAAGCTGTATTGTATTGTATTCCCTTTAACATAACTTCATCTAGTGGACGCATAAAGCAACGGCAGCCACTATTATAGCTTCTATTCTATGCACCTTATAATGCGGTGTGCCCTATAGATGAAAAGAGTTTTAAAATAGGCCATTCATTGAAGGTGCGCCTTATACTCCAAAGTGCCTGAAAAATACGGTAATCGGTGGAATGATCGATTGGATAATCGATTGCAGAAAGATTTGTTTGTGACAGCCCTATAACTCACACATACTATTTTACTGACAAAAACATTTACTTAACACCTTAGAAGTAAATTATTCACTGTTTCTACGCACCCCCCGATTGTGGAACTGCCTTACATTGTGTTCTCACGCTATCGCCACTTGACACATCTGGGTTTACCCTCCCAGTCCTTCAACTGAACTGGACCGCTGAGTACAAACATGGCAAATAGAACCATCTCCATGCATTTCACTTCCACACCATAGCACCCAGTACACAGTTGCTATGACTCACACACGCGTTTAAGTTTGATGTTGATGCTTTGCCATGAAAATCTCTCATCGGTGCATGAATGCTTCCATTTACCATTCACATACTCATAGACACTCACCTCTTCCAGTCAGCCGATATTTATAGAACAATCTCATGTTATGTTCTTATGTTTTCTCTTTGCTCCCATTTAGGAATGTGATGAACACACACACACACACACACACACACACACACACACACACACACACACACACACACACACACACACACACACACACACACACACACAAGCTTTAAACCAAGGTCAGACACAGAGAGAAAACCAAACAGGCTTTTGCACAGTCTAGTGTGTGAATGACAGCAACTACTTAGAGCTTCATGTGCCCGTACACACACAAGCACACACACACACACACACACACACACACACACACACACACACACACACACACACACACACACTTGAAATTTTAAGAATCTTTGTGTAAAATTTACAAGAATCTTCAGTTAGCCCAACATACATACTACTGTAAATGTAATTCTGTAGTAGAAATTCTTCAGCAAAGATGCTCATGGAAAAAAAAATTGTTTTTGCACTCAGGCAGATCTGCGGACAGCTGACACACAAAAAATATAAGCCTTTGGATTTACTTAATTCAAACGTACAAGATTAAAATGTGGTACAGCAAACTGATGTGAGTTCCCTCTGTTTTCCTCAAAAATAAACAACTTTATGTTAGTTTAAAATACTTTAATCATGTGTATCAAAAATCAAGTCCCTTATTTTCCACACTATAAGGCGCTTCGGAGTATAGGGCGCACCTTCCATGAATGGCCTATTTTAAAACTGTTTTCATGGATAGGGCTCACCACATTATAAGGTGCATAGAACAGAAGCTACAATTGTGGCTGCCGTCGCGTTATGCATCCACTAGATGGAGCTACGCTAAAGGGAATACAATACAATACAGCTTCATTTCTATAGCGTTGTCAAAACCACTGCAGCTGTAACAAAGCGCTTTGCAGAACATTTAAAATACTACATCCAAGAAATCAGAATATTGATCCATATTTAAGGCGCATCGGATTAAAGCAAATCACCGAACCTTAACCCAAAGAAGCATGCATTTCAACTCTTGTAGAGGAGACAGAAGGGAGTAACCCCCAGGAACAAACAAGAACTGAAAGATGCTGCAGTCAAGGCCTGGAAAAGCATTTCAAATGAATGCAACAGTCTGGTGAAGTCAATGGGTTGCAGGCTTGATGGTAGTTATCACAAGTAAGGGTTATGACACCAAATATTACATGTTACTCACTTGAAGTTAATTTCAGAATGTCCATTCCACTACTTTTGATCCCATGAAAATCGGTGGCTCCAAACAAAAAGCGCTCTGTCCCGAGTTGTTGAACACATCTTGACGTAAATACTATGATGTAAAAGATGGAATTTTTGTCTGATATTCATCGTTTACCATCAGCGGCCTTTAAGCAGGCTGTAAAAAGTTTCTCAGTCAGCCACATGTATTCCTCTTTGCGATTTCAACACAGCATAAGCTCGTTCACAGGGCGGAACATTCCAAACATTTGGTTTTCTGATTTCGTGCACCGGCTGTAGACCAAACAGCTATTTTTAAATGTTCGTATAATCAAAATGAAACCGAAATAGCATTGTTTTTCAATCAATTTGATTACATTTCAATGCCTTCGGACATGGTATATCGTGCTTTTTAATGCCATTGTAGGACTTTTTGCAAAATCCATTTAATGACGAATGCTTTTTAATCAACTGGGGAAACTGTTTAACATTCAAACAGAACTTTATTCTCAACTGCTGGTTAGTTCCACTCATGTTTCGTTTCATACAGATTTCACTTGCGTTGCTCGGAACACATTGAAATCAAAATTGTAGGTTGTTTTTGTTGTTGTGCTCAGCGTGCGATGTGTTTCACTCGACATGCATAAAACTTGTCAGGGAATGCAGAAAATGAAACCAGAACTTGAAATGTGTGTGAATGTGTGTGTGTGTGTGTGTGTGCATCCACTAGATGGAGCTACGCTAAAGGGAATACAATACAATACAGCTTCATTTCTATAGCGTTGTCAAAACCACTGCAGCTGTAACAAAGCGCTTTGCAGAACATTTAAAATACTACATCCAAGAAATCAGAATATTGATCCATATTTAAGGCGCATCGGATTAAAGCAAATCACCGAACCTTAACCCAAAGAAGCATGCATTTCAACTCTTGTAGAGGAGACAGAAGGGAGTAACCCCCAGGAACAAACAAGAACTGAAAGATGCTGCAGTCAAGGCCTGGAAAAGCATTTCAAATGAATGCAACAGTCTGGTGAAGTCAATGGGTTGCAGGCTTGATGGTAGTTATCACAAGTAAGGGTTATGACACCAAATATTACATGTTACTCACTTGAAGTTAATTTCAGAATGTCCATTCCACTACTTTTGATCCCATGAAAATCGGTGGCTCCAAACAAAAAGCGCTCTGTCCCGAGTTGTTGAACACATCTTGACGTAAATACTATGATGTAAAAGATGGAATTTTTGTCTGATATTCATCGTTTACCATCAGCGGCCTTTAAGCAGGCTGTAAAAAGTTTCTCAGTCAGCCACATGTATTCCTCTTTGCGATTTCAACACAGCATAAGCTCGTTCACAGGGCGGAACATTCCAAACATTTGGTTTTCTGATTTCGTGCACCGGCTGTAGACCAAACAGCTATTTTTAAATGTTCGTATAATCAAAATGAAACCGAAATAGCATTGTTTTTCAATCAATTTGATTACATTTCAATGCCTTCGGACATGGTATATCGTGCTTTTTAATGCCATTGTAGGACTTTTTGCAAAATCCATTTAATGACGAATGCTTTTTAATCAACTGGGGAAACTGTTTAACATTCAAACAGAACTTTATTCTCAACTGCTGGTTCGTTCCACTCATGTTTCGTTTCATACAGATTTCACTTGCGTTGCTCGGAACACATTGAAATCAAAATTGTAGGTTGTTTTTGTTGTTGTGCTCAGCGTGCGATGTGTTTCACTCGACATGCATAAAACTTGTCAGGGAATGCAGAAAATGAAACCAGAACTTGAAATGTGTGTGAATGTGTGTGTGTGTGTGTGTGTGTGTGTGTGTGTGTGTGTGTGTGTGTGTGTGTGTGTGTGTGTGTGTGTGTGTGTGTGTGTGTGTGTGTGTACACGTATGGGGAGGGGGCGGTTATAACCTCCACCAAGTGAGCCTCGTGAAACTTTCTAGATCTGCCACCTTCTGTGAGGACGCTATGTGGAGAACACCCACAATCCCACAGAAAACATGCAAACTCCACAATGAAAGGTCCAAGACCAGATTTGACTAGACTAGGACTATTTTTTAAAGAATATTACAAATGGTTGCCAAAAATGAGGAGAACTGGTCTTTTTCACCATCTTTCCTACCTCTTTTGGTGACAGTATGGAAATGTAGTCCTCATAGATGGAGCGTGACTTCTCCTCAATGGATTTCTTGTTCTTTTCCTGTTTGAGGTCTTCACAGGCCAGCCAGAACAGCATGTTCTCCTCACTGTACTCGGTGCGCAAAAACTCCCGAAAAACATTGCGTCCCGCCGGGTTCCTCATCAGCTTGTCGAAGGACTGAGACCAGAGCTGCATTTCCTCCGCTGAAGGTTTAGTGCTAGTGGGGGGAGCAGTCAGGAAAACCACTTGATTATCTACTTTTTCAATAGCTAACTGTCACACCTCTCCTTTCAGGTCACTTGCCCTTCCTCCTGTGCCAGTCTGATTGTCAGTCCAGCCCTGACTGTTTCCACCTGTTGCCCCTGACCTTGTGTTTAAATGGTCCTTGTCTCCCTTTATCCTGCGCCAGTGTGTTTCGTCTTTGTGCGTACATTCCAGCCTTTGGCCAGAGTTCTGTCTAGCCCCTGCCTTGTTTTTGCAGTCATGCCTATTTTGAGTTTTCAAACCGTTGAAGCTCTAATAAATCTTCCCTTTGCTCTGAAGCCTGCAACTGTGTCCTGTATTCAAGTTTGGCACTGATGGCTAACAAACCGTTTTCCAAGTGCGAGGGGGACTGCACACGAATGGACAAAATGACGAAGAACTTAATGCCACTCAGTGGAAGTGTCAATTGTGACCCTATCGCATTTATATTTTATCTGTTTGTTAACAGACTACTTCATGGTTCATCACGTTTAATTAAAAATGTTTAGTATTTTGTATTCAATTGTTCAAAACTATTTCAAAATATTCCTAACGTTTTTTTTTTTTTTGTGTTTGTTTCTTTGCTGTGCTGACAAACTTATATGGCACACTTCAGCCCATTTATCAGTAATGAGTGGACTGAACATTTACCTTGCAAGTCGACTAACAGTGCAGCCCTAAATTTTAGATCTGCGCACGTAAACTTTCAAGTTAGGGGTCACTACACTCATTTAAAAAAGAAAAAAACAAAACAAAACAGTCTGGAGCCCTGCAAAGAACTTGACAATGACTCAGTGGAACACTGACCTCCACTAAAGCCAAACCTCTACTGAACTTGTGGGCCATCATATTTGTGGTTCTTTGTTTATGTGTTTATTAGTTAGCACACCATTTTATGGTTTGTGAAAGATTATGATCATGCAGACAGTGCCAGGATAAGAGGTGTTTCCACAAAAGAGTCAAATGGTGAAATTAAATTCATGTTATTAGAACATTCAGCCAGTAAAATGGAATGACTTCTTCGTCAGCCCAAGTGCAGGCCATCCAAAAAATTATTTTGGAAGTTGATGTGCCACATTAGCATGTTAGGTGTGGACTCACCAAGCTTCACAGTTTGGTATTGTTTCCATCTTGTTGTCCTGTGATATCCTCTTCCTCCTACGTCTCCTCCTCTCATCTTCATTCCTGATATTAAGACTGACATGATAAGACGGCTTTCAGACAGGAAACACACACACACACACACACACACACACACACACACACACACACACACACACACACACACACACACACACACACACGCAAACAGCCACACACTGATGAAAGAACTTTTAAACACACTCAACCACACGCACAGATCTTACTTCACCATACACTGACAACACCCACCGCAGTTGTGTTAACAGCAGGGTGTATGTGAGAGAAATTTCCACAGGAAAAAAATGAATGACCAAAAAAAAAAAAAAAAAGGCAACACAATACACAGGTGTCCAATTTCTGATCCACAATTTTGAATCAGCTTAATTAGTAGTTATTTGATTTTTTTTTTCCGCTTGAGTACAACCTTGAAAATTCTTCTGTCTCCATGTACTACCATCGTGCACAACATTAAAACACAGTAACGTAAGAGGCCTACGCGGCCATCAAAAACAAGATGGAGGTTTTATTCTTCAAAGGTATATTCAATATATCATAAGCCACTGGAACATAATGCGCAGTTTGAACATTGAAATTGTGTAAAATTAAAAATCTGTACTTAAATAACACTGGTCAATCGCAAATTTGAATCAGAGATGGCTTCATGTGTCCCTCAACGTACGCTTCATTTTCCCATCACTACATATTTCTATAATACAAATTATATTATTGTTACTATATTATGATTATTATCATTATTATGAAAACCTGATGTGCTAGAGAAAAAAAAAGTGGGAAGATTCGGAATCGGCGCAAAAAAAAATCATCTCTAAAAGTTTCATTGCATTGCTGATTAAAACAATTAGCAAACTTTTGTTGATAAGTGTAAAGTTTCAATTGAAGTTTATTGCACCTAAAAGGTAAACAAAAATGTTTTCTACACAAACATTTCAGTCCCTAAACATTGAATACAAATGTATTGAATTAAAGTTAAATACAACTGAACTGGATTTAGGCTGTCATTTGTGGCCCACTAGAGGGAGCCATCATTGCCAGTGAGTTAAACAATAAAACGTGAATGGTCAACATTCATTGAGTCACTCATGTCTGATTGGTTCATCCAAAAAGTGTATGTCTGTTTTTCTTTTGTGTGTGTGTGTGTGTGTGTGTGTGTGTGTGTGTGTGTGTGTGTGTGTGTGTGTGTGTGTGTCCTACCATGAGCAGCTGCAACAGCAGCACCAGCAGAAGCAGCAAGCGCTCGGCCGCTGGGAATTGTGGGTCGTGTTCAGGCCTTGCACCGCTGGGCTGCTCAGCGGTGAGGTTTCGCTGCGACCCACCCCCATGGCCAGCTCACCCTCTCGCTCGGCCGGGATTGGACCTGTGTACTTTAGAAAAAGAGAGGTTGTCATACATTTGGACTTTTTGTGAACATCCGACTTTCTACACCGAGTATGTTGATCAGTGGAATTTGATTTCCCTTCCAGACTCTCTATGCTTGTGTGTTTTGTTCTAAATGTTCTTTTGTGTTAGTGGTGATTGTTACGGCAATCCTTGTGTGGCTCATTCCTCCGGTGATAAATTCCTTTTGTGTTTTTACATGCCTGGCCAGTGAAGACGATTCTGATTCTAATCCCAGTTAGGAATGAAATGGCATTTAAAAGAAAAAAAAACAACTACAACACCACAGGTTATTCTACAAGAAGGTTCTTTCAATGTTATTCTACAGAGCAAAGCCCATTGGACAAAGTTTGCTGCGAAACGTAAATCTAACCTCTGTAATTCACAATTCAGGTTACTGAGATCATATACTCTTAAAAGGCAGATGTAAACAACAAAGTCCATTCATTGAGAGGCTCTTACTACTCCATAGTATCGCAAAACATGTATGGACAACAGTGTTTTCAGCAAAAACAATACAAGAAGTTGTCAGTAACAATGGCAACGTAAGATGGCCGCCAGGGGTCAAGTGTTAGTCCAGTCATTTATACTGTAAGTCTGTGACTACACTGCAACGTGATTAGGATTAATATTGTTTTGTGGATTTGGGGTGACCTGCAAGACAAGTGAGTAGATTTTTTTTTTTTTTAGAATAAATTTAAAAAAATGTTTTGCACATCTTGCTCCTCAGTTTTGTGCCGTCCTTGAATGGTAATTTTTATTATTGTATTAATTATTTTCATTTATTTATTTTTTTTATTATTTAATAATTATTTTATTACAAGAGCCCTTTGGAAATGACAGTTTGTGGTTTTTACATAAAATTTCAACATACTGTACTCCCTCAAAGAGCGACCTCTACTTTAATACCACGAATAACATGGTGTAGGGTAAAACATAAGAAACATTAACAGTAGAACACTGGGAGAAATGATGAGGAAGAGGGAGACATGTTGAGAAGAGGAAGTGAGAGGCAGACAGTGTTATGCATCATGTGATTGAGCTGTGATCACACACAAGCAAACACGCGCATACAGACACACAGACAAATGTTCAAAGGGTTTTTCTGCTTATGTTTGACTCTTTTGTGTGTGTTTGTGGTGTGCGAGCATTTGCGGTTAGCAGACAGCTTTGGGTGATACCAACGAGAAAGTGGATTTAAGATTAAGATTCCACTTCCCAAATTAAAAGTTCAATAACTCCACATTTAACAGCTTTCATTGAAGAAAGAAGTATAATACTGCTTTTCTGTGTCCACCTTTTGTGGAGTGACTAAATTTGTGTGCGTGTAACAGGATTTGGTTGCGCAAAATCATCTGATTAAGTGTGATTACATTAGAACGACTTTGTAATCGCACACGTTCAAGCACTTAGTCGTTCACCGAACGACTTGTCAGTTCGACTCCATTGCTGTCAAGTTAGATTTTTGAAACCCTTACAACCTGTTGCAGCCGATCTCGTTTGTGCATTCACACATCAGTTACAGGCATGTGATAGATAGCAGAGGTTTGGAAAGTAAAAACTCTTTTAGCCACAGATGCTCATTTACCCGCTGGTTGAGTAGAAGCACCCGTGGCCAAACATTGTCAGGGTTTTAATTTTTGAGACCTGAATTTGTCACCTCTGCGTTATGGTCTTTAGATCATCGCCTCACAAAAACTTCTCATAGATGACATACATTTTATTGCACCTAGAGGTGTCATAAAATAGAACTTGCTGAACAATTGCCGTGGGGAATGTCTTCAGGACAGTCGGCAAAAAGACTTTTTGCAATCGGAGTGCTACTACTTGGGAACTGATTAATGCGAAGCAGTCCGGATGGTTCTGAACTTTTTGTATTTATGGATGATGGAGGCCACTGGACTCAACGGGACCTACAAAGCAGCATTTTTTTTTCTGTACCCTTCCTTGATGTTGCATCGGGACACTCCTGTCTGAGAGGCCTCGAGACTATTCCATTGACTCCACATTTGCCGTGTGCTCTGACCTGCAGGTCTGTCGATTGTGGGTGGCAGCCTTTCAAAATCGTGTTCAATCAAATGAGGTAACCACCGGCGGTTCCAATTGAGCAGTGTTAATTATGTTGCAGAAAACATTTCAGCACAGTCAGTTACCATTTTTATCTGCTGAAAACGACATAATGAGTACACGAAAAAGCATTTCCAAGGATTAAGCAGAGAATGAAATGTTTCGTCATTTTTGACAAATGAATGAACACGGGATGAAAATGTCTGCCAGGAAAAAGAACCGATCAAAATGGAACAGGTGGAATTGACAAAATAACAAATCAGATTCATGTGGTAAGGAAGAGACGAAAACGAAAATGAGAGCTCTTCTTCAGGGCCGATTTAGCTGAAGGGCTACCAATTTGATACGCACTTGTGACATAACAAATTTGCTCAAATTGAATAATGTTATTATTAGGCATCAATGACATTCATTTATGTGAAGACACTGATCGTGGAATGACATAGAAACAGATGAATATCAATCAACTACACTTCATTTCGATAAATCCGTGCTTGCATTTCAAATGATCACACACTTCGGAAACAGAAAATCACAATGTCCCATCAGTGGTGAGCTATTTTTAGAACAGGCCCGCAGGAGACTCATGTGGTCCTTAGGAGCTACGCGGCGCCCACGGGCACCCATGTTGGTGACCTCAGATTTAGCGTTTCTGCTAGTCCCGTGACTGTCTCACTATTTTGTTAACCTTTTGCATTTGCTTTCAATGAAGGCTCTGATAAATCACAGTGCCAGACTCTAAAATGTGTTCTATATTTTTTCTTTTCAATAATTGAGTTTCACTGATTCATAAAGAGCAAGCCTGATGGCATTATGGCTTTGCACTCACTGGTTTTTATTTCTGCACAAATGGCACTGTTGATTTTACAATGTTATGGGTAGATAAATTTGATCCGAAAAACAAGTGATATCCATGTCTTAACATTTTTGAACACATTCATTCGGTTTTTCATCTCGGTCAGTGCTTCCAAGTGCCATCTCTAAAAAATAATCGGCTCTCCAAGTCACGCTATTAAGACCAACAGTAAAAAAAGCAGAAGTGTTCATAAAAAAACAAACAAAAAAAAAAAACATGGCTAGTGTGTATTCCTAAAAATGTGATTTGAAAACAGTTCTAAAAATTAACTACAAATGTATTGAATATCTTAAATAAAATTTAATGTCGTGGTACTGGATTACCACTCCCCCTACCCTAAAAAAAAAAAACAACAAAAAACTGCTGAATCTGTTTTCAATTGCCTGAGCTGGAGAAGTAGAGGTCAAAAAAACAAACAAACAAATAAATAAATCACAACAGCTAGCCTGCGTATCACCGGTGGTACTTGTACCACACTGAGAACTGCTAATCTCAGGTGAACCTTACAGACGTTCAGAGAGTGAAACAAAAGTTTACATGACACACTTTTTATTTTAAAACTAGACTAAAACGATTTAGATGACTAAATCACAAATTACAACTAAAACTTAGTCAACAGATTTGGACTAAAACTAATATATATATATATATATATATACATATATATTTTCTTTTTTATTCCCCCCAACATTTCAATTCAGTAAGACTTCTGCTTCACTAAATGTGTTCTCACTAAATATATGCAGTTTGATTGTTTTTTCCAATTAAATTTAAAAGGGGTTGAAAAGGAGATTCAATGTGACGCAAATCGCCATTGCAAATGACCGTTGATTGTCACTGAAGTAAAGAATGAGTATGTCATTGATTTACATCTTCAAATTAACAGTTGTTATCCATTTGTTACACCTGTATAACAGTTAAGAATATTCAAATCATACTTTTACATCCATTGGTAATTTTATGATGGCCTTGGAATGGATTATTTCCATTATTTAATAGAGAAAATGTCAAATTTAAATTGGCATTGGATCTAGCACACCCGCAACTCTTATGAGAATAAGCGGTAAAGAAAATGACAGGGATGGATGGATGCTCATTTCTGCCTTTTTGTGGTCAGTCAGGTTATCAATTGTATCTCAACTTGCCAAATGTCCCCTCCCCTCACCCCCCCTCCTCATTTCAAATAATATTCTGTCTTATTAGTGGTGGCTCATCTTGCTGCTTGCCTGCCAACAAGCGCCTGTGCACAAGCGTCGATCAGTCTCAAAGAATCTAAGGGGCAGTTACTTTGTCATGTTGCCAAATCAAGGAAAAAGTAGGAAGGAAACAGATTTGTGTCGTATTCGGTCGTGATGACTGTAGAAACGTACGTCAGTAGATATGTGATCACTTCCAGTGATGTCAAAATAAAATACAAAAAAAAAAAAAAATGCCAAGAGTTGCTGACAGACATCAGAGGGTGAAATACAGGCTGGAAGTTTGACGTTTCACTGAGGCTAGGCATACACCGTATGATTTTAAAAGTGGTAGTTTTAAAAGGCAAAATTCAGTTTTCGATTTTATCACCAGTAGTAGTCTCATTCTATGGACTGACTGAGAAACACAATTGTCTTGTTGATGTTGGGATGGATGCCTTTCACATTTAAATTGCACGCGATACCGATTCCCAGTACCTGCGGATTGAAACAGGTACTCAACGATACCAATTTTTGGTGCTTTTTGTGTGTTTGTGACAAGAAATGATAATTTATTGAATCATTTAAAATGTAAATGTTCAATATGTAGACTTTGACAAACACAACTAAACCAAATGATAAGTTTAAAACAAATCAGCGAAACTGAATTGAATCAAAGTGCAACGTTTAACAACTTAATAAAGTACAAACAACAAAATCAAGAAAAAAAAAAGTATTTCAGAATATAAAGTACAATAATCGTATTCGTGTTTCTCGTCATTCCTTGTGCAGTTGCTTTTCAAGAACACCAAGGCTGACCGGTGAGTACCAGTCCAGATTCCCAGGTACCAGGATTCGGTATTGTATCAGTTTAAATGTGAAAGGTACC